ATTATTATTATTATTATTATTATTATTATTATTATTATTATTATTATTATTATTATTTTTTTTTTTTTTTTTACATTACTAAACCAATGTAAAAAACTTTTGCCCGAAGTCGTAATACTTGCTCATCTGTTGTTATATAAGAAATAAATTAAATGAAATATAGTGTATAATTCGCTTTGATTAGGCAGCTTATGCAACTTATTGAGCATGTTATACCCTTTCAAAGGATTGTGAATTAAATTTACGTCTGTTACCCATTTTTATCAAATTTGATGGCCATCAATTATTCATAAATCGAATGTCGCATAAATAATAAATTCATTGACGACACGAGCTAATAAAAAGCTTTTAAGAAGTTTTAACAAAAGTTCCACCATTGAATTAAATCGATATTAAATTTCAAATGAGCATTAAATTTGTGAGTAAACCTAGAGAATTTTAATGCGGAAAAAATAATGCAAAAAATTTAAAATTTATTTGTGTTTAAATAAAAAAAAGCAAAGTAAAAATATACATATATAAATAATTTAAAAGTATATAATAATATATAATTTAGTAATATTTTATAAAATTAAAATATTTGTATGTAAAAAAATGTTTGGTTAGGGTATATTAAGTTCGACTTCTTTTTGTTGTGTTATATATTATTTCTCTGCTATTATAAGACAAACAGATTTGTTGGTTCCATTGTTGTTTTATTTTTTATATATATATATATTTATTTTTATTTATTTTTTTTTGTCAAATGCTGGGCTGAAAACCTTTGCAAACTTGACCAGCATAAATTTATTATTTATAACTATTATATTTTTGCTTACATGTTTCCCTTTCTTAGAGTATTCGTTGTACGTCTTAGCCATCATATTTCTTCAAGTCTCATAACGAATCACGTTAACAGCTTGTTACGTACATCATACAAAGGAATAACGACTTGGTTATATACTTTATATTATGTTATATAATCCAGGGCACAAATGATGCTTGGCTCTAGACGATTGTCAGCCTTTGTGAGTGTGGGTGTGTGTCTGTGTGTGTGGGTGTGTGTCTGTGTGTGTGGGTGTGTGTCTGTGTGTGTGGGTGTTTGTGAGTTTGGTTAGCTGCCTCAGGCCCCAGAGCAGAGGTAAAGCAAAACAATCACAGTTCGCACAAGGCAAAAAGTTGTTCAATTGCATACGAGTAACCGACTTGTGTTGTGTGTAACCAGGTGTGTGTGTCTGTGTGTGTGTGTGTGTTTGAGTTTTGCTGTGCTTCAACAATGTACTCATAACACACACATACACACACACAGCTTGGAGCTAGCTTTGCTGACACTCAATGTGAACTCACCTTGGTATCTGCAGCGCAATCTCGTCGAGACTGTCGGATGGACTCATTGGGGTCCGTTCGAATAGCCGGGAGGGCGCCAAAGTCAGGTGGCCAGTGGAATCGCTGACACATTTGAAGACCTTGGCGCCGCGCCTCTGCCGCTGCTGTTGACGCTGCTGTTCGACGCGTTTCTTCCGTTTGTTCTCCTCGGCGCGCTGGAGATTATGCAAGCGAAAGAAGAACATTGACATTCTGCAATCGGCGGGATGGGATGGACGGCTAACATGAAGGGCGGCGGGGTGGGGTGGCAGATGTGACGTAGAGACGTATGATGGGGCAGTTAGGCAGAGAAAGTTCGGAATGCAATTGTGCGGGCGAAGCAGGCGAATTGTAAAATTTGTTTCATTTTCGATTTTGATTTTGATGTTATTTAATTTTTTTTTTTTTTTTTTTGGCCACAAAATTTGAAATTTGTCAGCGCGCACGCATTTTGTTGATTGTTGTTGTTGTTGTAGTTTGCATAATTTGGCATTTCAGTCAGTGAAGACAATGCATTTCATTTATTGTTGACGTTGTTGTTGTTGTTGTGGTTGGGTTGCATTTGGTTTTTGAAAGCAGCATGAATTATGCAACAGAATTGAGAGCGTAAAGCATTTTTGATTTAAGCTTGGTGCATGAGTTTACAACTCTGTGTGTGTGTGTGTTTGTGTGTGTGTAAAAGTGTAATAGTGTTTGTGTGTCGCTTGCATTTTTGGGAGCTGCTGTCATCCCAAGTCGTTAGTGCACCAACATACGTACATGGATACACACATACATACATATATACAAATTGCGCATGCAAAAAGCCAAAAAGCCAAACGTAAATACAAATCAGATTGGATAAACAGGATTTAGAAGTGTATTAACTTTCAGATACCCAGTTGTATGTATAGAATTAATAAATATAATAATTTATATATAATATATATAAATTCTATATAAAAATATTGATTAATACAATAAAATTACTTATTTATATTTATAAGTATTGGTTTATATAATAAAATTAATTTTTTTTTATTTATATTATTAAAATTACTTATTTGAATAATTTATATTTTTAATTTTAAAATAACTTATTTATATAATTTATGTAATATAAATAAATTATATATGGTACATAATAACTCAATTTATATTGACTATATTTATATCCATAGATCACGATTTAAACAGCTATAAAAAAAGAAAATATATATACATATATGTCTTGGTCTTAAATTTTCTACTTGAATACCCCTTTTCTTTTTAAAATTTAATACAAATTATAATTTATATGCATGCAGACATGTATAACTAATTTATAAATATTTTTCTAGCATCTTGAGGCAAACCAAAATACATAACTTATTTATCTAGATTTTTTTTTAAATATTTTAATATAAATAAACAGAAAATATTGTAGAAAATATTCAACAGTAAATGAAAAGTGCGCTATCCTCTCTTATCACAGACCAGAAATTTCCACCACTCAGTTTCTACGAATCATAGTTTATCAATCATTCCCCATAAGCCTCACAGTGCCAAATCATAATGGATGGACATCATCAAGAGCAACTCAATTCACATGATTTGTATGCCACTCTCACTCATTTCATATCAGTTATACAGGGTATATGAAAGCCAAATCTAAATGACATGTGCGCTTTGGGGCACACAGAGAGCGAGCAGCAAAGTAAAATTAACTTCCGGCAGCATCAATCAACTTTAAGCATTTTGCAACAAGAGAGCAATAGAGAGAGAGATGGAATGAATGCAAAAGAAAGAGGGGCAGAGAGAGAGAGAGAGGGCGAGCGAGCAATACATAGAGCTATAAAGCATAGCTGGACAGCTGCTTACCAAATGTGTGTTGCAGACCGGAAATTGAAATATGAAGAGTTGATATCATTTTTTTTTCGGGCATCTTTTAAATGCTGAAAAGTTTAGAAGAAACCAAAACGGAAATGAGCGGAAATTCTAGCCCAAGGCTCCAATGCAATTTTGTGCGTCATTCAAGGCCAACAAAACAGACACAGTCAAAGAGAGAGAGAGAGAGATAGAGGGAGATAGATACACTTCATTTGGTTGGCAGCATAACAGCTGGCAGTAAATCAATTGGCCAAAGAGCCAAAGTGGTTGGACATTGATTGATCTGGCTGCAATCAGGCGTTAAATACGTATTACGTTTGTCATCAGCAGACAGCGAAGGGGCTTCCGTTCAATTAGACCGCAGTTATTTCAGCCTAATGACACGACTCGACTTTGCCACTTAATGAGCCAGCCGCACATCTCAGCATTGTGTCAAAAAGTAAATTAATCGAAATTTACATAAATTTACTCAAGACATTGGCGCGTCTCGGGGCGTCGTCGTCTGTGCCAATACCAATCGAAATACAATGCGGCTCTCCCACAAGTAATTACCAATCGAGTCCCAGACGGCGGGTAAAACAAAAGTGAACGAAAGAGATAGGCAGAGAGAGAGAGAGAGTGAGGGAGAGAGAGACAGAATAAAACCGAGTAAGAACAATATGAACTGTGCCGTTGCGATACCCTAGAAAATGGGCTGTGGAATATTATTTCGAGATTAAATATAATTTTTTAAAATTATTTAATTCAATTTACTTCATAATTTTTTAATTTTTTTATTTTTTTTATTTTTTTAGATATAAATAAATATATCTTAATAAACATAGGTCAACGTTTTTTGTATTTAAAATAAAATTATTTTATTTAATTTATTTTATATATGAAAAGTGTGAACCACTTATGAAAGCTTTAACAAAATGTAGAATATTTTTATACTTGATAAAATTTGTCGTAAAATTTAATCAACTTTATTAATTCATCATAGATCTACCCTCTCATATTAACCACAGGGTATATGAAAAAATCGAACACTTTGCATCATCATTAGCTCGCAGAGAGAAAGAGAGAGAGAAAGAGAGAGAGAGAAAGAGAGAGAGAGAAAGAGAGAGAGAGAAAGAGAGCGAGAGAGAGCATCGACACTGTACACACTTTGTTAATTAGGCAAACTCTGTCAGTGTTTAATAGCTTTATAATTTACCCGAGTTTGCCATGGCAAAAGATTTTCAGGGGGGGTGGGGGCTGGCCCGAGCCAAATGATTTCAAGTGTGCAAATTGAAGTAAATTAAGGCCAAATGGACATCCAGCTGGAGCGTGTTTAAATGATCAGTGGGAAAGTCTTATTTAAATTAAATTGCAGCCAATGTGAGAAGGAAAATAGAATCGATATGGTCTCGGCTCAACAGCAAAGGAAATTAAATTATATATATTAATAGAACTATTTCACGCCCCTAGTCTGGCCGAGAACTTTGCGAGCCCTCTCAGTGTCTGTTCGAATCTGGCCAGAATGACTGCCAGCTGGATTATATTATTGATGCTTGGCGCTGCAGTGTCATTCCCAAAACCTCCCAAGCTTCGCGATCTGTGCACGATAGGCGTGGTCAGGTTTGCACGCTCGACGTGCCAGCCCTTACTACCTGTCTGGGTGATGCACAGGGGCAGATGCAGATTGGGCTATAACTGCATTATCGGATTAACGCAAAGGCAGTGTATAAAACAATGTTACTTAAAGGATATCTCTACGACGACGACAACAACAGAAGCAACAACAGAAACAACAGAAACAGAAACAGAAACAACAGCAGGCACAACAGCAATGACAACATCACGAATAACCAGACCAAGAACGTCTAGATCAAGTGTAATTCCTTGGTTTAATGGAACAACAACAAGAAGGAGAACGCGTCGACCCCGAACAACAACAACATTACACAGTTAAACGAAGAAAATATATACAGATTTTTATATAATCATCAGATGTTACTGCATCAAAATAAATTTCACGCAATCGGATACAGATTAGTTTGATTCAATCGAGCAACAGGGAGTATATGACGGTAATATACCTTGGATAAGAAAACATATAAAGATGTTATTTCGATTTCAATTGTCATCTCCCGATGAATTATCCAATTAGGTCAATGCATCAAAGCTATAAAACAGCTAGCGATAACAGGAAAATAAAAACAAAACAACTGACACTAATAATTGGCAGAAGAGGAAGAGGAGAGGAGCCAATTGGTCGTTAAGTTAGCAATAATTGGATTGCAAATATAATTTGATTGTGGTTGTAATTGAACATGAATTGGGTATAAATGGTTAGATAAGGAAGACAGAGACAGTGTGAGAGAAAGAGAGAGAGAGAGCTAGGAAAAAAGAGAGGGTTAGAGGGAAGAGGAAGAGGAAGGAGATAGAGAGCAACAGATCTGGACAAAAAGGAAAGCCAAGAGATATATAAAGAAACAGAATCAGAGAAATGCCTACATTGATAGAGACAAAAGACTGTGAAAGAGAAAGAAATAGATTAAGATACAGGAATAGAGAGAGAGAGAGAGAGAGAGAGCGACAAAGCAAAAGAAATAAATAAGAGAGAGAGAAAAACCAACCTATGGAGAAATAGAGAGAGAGAGAGACAGACACATACATATATCGATTTCTTAATGCAATTCATGAAACATGAATCATGAATCTGTCAAGGTATATTTTAATATGATTTTAATCATGCAGACAAATTCTGCAGTCATTATATTCTGCATTCATTATATATGTATATATAATATATACATGAACTATATTCACCGCTCAGAGCGGAACAGAGCTATGAACAGGCAGAACGCAGGCCGTAAACAAAACGAGCCAAATCGAATCGCCTGTTGATTGAGATCAATAATAATACCTGTTACATCGTCTATATTCTCCAGTTTGTGAAAAGGTAAAACGCCGACAAATTCGCTTCCGCACAACGCGTAAAATTAGCAAAACTGTTAAATAAACCTAAACGCAGCTTATCAACCGCACGCAGCCGGCTTCCCCCCCAAGTCCCGCAGTGGGCTGCGTGCCGATGCCTTAAATGATTTCACGCCCATTGCGGGGAGAAAAAGAAACAGAAAAACAAACAATGGCAACATTTTCAGAATTCCAACGAGCCCAAAGCGAACAATGAACAGCAGCAAAAATAAAGAGAGGGAGAGAGAGAGAGAGAGAGAGAGAGAGAGAGAGAGAGAGAGAGAGAGAGAGAGAGGGAGAGAGAGAGAGAGGCAAAAAAAAAGAAGAAAACCGTGGAGCCCAATAATCATTGGGGCACAAAAAACTTGGTCAAAAGCAAAGAATTGCGACCCGCTGGCTTTTGTCATGCATTGGGGTTGAGTGCGTTCAAGCGCGCACA